GGATATAACTTAAGGGGTCACTTAAATTTAAAAGTTCATGTTATACGTACAACCAAAAAGAGATTTTGTATTTCTATAAGTGGGGTCAAATTATGGAATAATTTAACTGTGGACATGAAAAATAGTACTAGAATTGAGGAGTTTAAATATAAATATAAATGTATGTGTTATACAAGATATATGCAAGAATAAGATTTATTCGAGAAGGCATTAGGAAACACTCTGTTTTATCTATGTAGAGCTTGCAGCCAATGATGTATGTAATTTTGTATAATATGATGACATGGGGTAGGACTGGATAAGTCTGACTTCTTCCTACTCCATTCAAACATGTACAGGTGTAGGCAATTTGACTTTGGATTAGCATTGGTTGGATATGTGTAATTATGTGTGTTGTTGTTATTTGTTCATTTGTTCTGTTCTGCATGTTTGAAAGAATAAATCAATCAATCAATCAATCAATAATGTTCCATCTGCAGTGGATTTAATGTTAGGTAATATGTGTGTATATTTAAACAATTCTGTGTAGCCTGAATGTGCAGAGATATTGCTGAGTACATCTCCTTCATCTTGTCCGTCTCCTTTTCTCTCAGGTTCATGGTGTTTTGCGCCGTTCCAGCTCCTTCAACACTGGTCGCATTGATCATCTTTACCAGAACCCCCAGACACACACCGAGGGCAGTAAGTGTCCCGTCTGGCCCACCTAGTGTCATGTCCGTTTCACAAAGGGGTGCACAGCTTCTTTTTAGATAGCACCTCTCACCCTACAAATTCAGAAAGTAGTTTGCCCTCAAAGTGGTGCAGCTGTTGGACTGTAACCTTACCAAGTTAACTGTGCTTTTCTTTGGCATTCCTTCCATCTGCAAACACTGACCATCGGTGACAAACCTCTCCATGTTCACAGGTTCACTGAGTGAATCTGTGAAGGACCTTTAAGAGTGAATTACCGTGGCATTTTAGTTTTTACATATGAAAATGACTTTGTCTGTAATTTAAGTGTGTCATGACTTCGCTTGTGCGTTAATCAGCGTGTCTTTGTCCTACACCCTGTCAGACATGAAGCTGCATTATGGCGACCTGACCGACAGCACGTGTCTGGTGAAGATCATCAACGAGGTGAAGCCCACAGAGATCTACAACCTGGGCGCTCAGAGTCACGTCAAGGTAGTGTCATCCTACACACTCTCATGGATCTTTAGCTAGTGTCTGTGCAGAACACTGTGTTCTTCCAAATTAGAGCCCCTCTCTGAAAGACTTCTTTATTAGAGTGTGGATGCCCTAACCGAGCCCGATGGGGCCTACCAATACCAGAGGGTTCAGGCTGGGTTTGGACAGAAATTTGGAAATTATGTTTGGGTCCAGGTCAAACTTTAAGTTAGATGGTTGTAGCACTCAAATGTCTGCTTAGTTTAATGATAAAAGAGAAAAACAGTGTAGAAACTCACCTTTGTGGGGTCCAGGTCGGGCTTGAACACCACACTCTCGGGCATGGGTCGGGTTTGGATAGAAATATGAGACGTGGTCCATCCTTGCAAACCCAGTATATGGGTTTGTTTTGACGAGGAAGACAAAGGGAAACGGCTGATAACAATCCTGATGGCAGTGAATTTGCATTCTAGCATCATACTGTAATTATAGAGGATTTGAAACCAGCCCAGAGGAAACAGAAGAGTCTAAATAAAGTAGTGTGGTACTTCCAAAGTAAGCTGGTTTCTGCTTTGTGCCACGAAGCACTTAACCTTTACGATAAACAGAGTTCCATTGAAATCTAGCCTGATGACTTGTGATGTAAAATGAGATGCTGGCTGAGGTCAACATTTTTTTTAAAGTTATTTATAGGTATGTATTATTCAGAGGTACTGTTCTCTTATCAAAATGTGATGTTAGATTTTTGAGCAGGAGCTGCTGAGATCTTGGCTGGTGAAATAAAGGACATTCTAAAGTGTGAGACTTGAGTTATTTATTTTATTTATTTAACAGCAACTTTTAAAAGCAGGAAATAACCATTTTAATGTGGACCCTTTCATGGCGTTCTTGTCAGCCTGTTGTTTTTTTTTTTTTTTTCCTTTTTGTATGAGTGATCTCATTCGCACTGCTTTGTCATTTGATTCAGTCTTAATATAAAAAGTATTGCTGTGTGGAGCTGTTAAAGCGATTACCTTCTATTTTGAAGCAAGTTTGAAGCCTTTGCAAGTTTATTTACACATTTAAATGTTTGAGAATTGTGGCCAGTGATTTCCTGGAAAGAAATACGATATAAAACTGGCTTATCCAAAAATGTGTCACCATCAACAAGCTTCTCAAACTCTCTAAGACCTGTTTTTCTTTTGCCTTACTTGGATGTTTCACTACCACTGCATTCAAATATTCAGCAAATGAGTACAGACTTCTCATCTGCTACAATTTGTCAGTTTGAAACTCCAGTGGTTGCCAGTTTTTCCAAATATAGCAAATTGAACACCAGTGTGTGTGCACATGGCCAGTGCTGACTGCTGCTGTAAATGGTTAGCAGATAGTGTTAAAAGGGACTTTCAGTGCTGGGAAGTGAGCAGCTCAAGTGTGGAGGATGCTGGAGCTGATGGGACAGGAAGTCAAGTTTTCTTGGATGGGTCAGTCTGTGCCACAATGTCCCTTTTGTGTCAGAGCTCTGCGGTGATCCCAGGAGATCCCTTGGCGCCGCACCCCGCCCCCTCCTACCTCTCCCAACTGGGATCTGACACACACTCTCCAGGCCACACTGATCCTCCTTTACCATGGTGGTTTGGGTGGGATATGGAGCCAAGAGCTTAGTCAGATCATAGATAATAAGGCTGTTTGTAATGTGAACACGAGACACTGCCTTCAGTAGAGTCTTAACAAAATCCATCCACTTCTGGATGAGACTGGTACAATTTTATTATTTTAAGTTCAGCTCAGTTTTATCTCATTAGCACTGGGGTGTAGTGTCAGCATATGCTGAAGTGATAAATTGATTAATAGGTTGCTAAGCCAACAGGAAATTGGTCAATCAGAATCTACTTTATTGGCCTGGTGTGTCGGACACATGAGGAATTTGACTCTGGTACATCGGCTCTCGATGTGCATGTACATATCCCCATGCAAGGGGCAAGTAAACAGTAAACCAACATAAGGCTAGTATAACATAAGCAGTATTAACAAGCAACAAACGGTGCATACAATGCAAATTAAGCAGTATAAACAGGGAGTAAACAGTGCAGACAAAGGAATGCTCATTGTGATAGTAATGATAAGGCTTTAAAAGAGGCTAAGAAGCTCCATGGAGGTGTATGGAGTGTTGGAGGGTTTGTCACTGTAAACAGCAGTAAACCTAAACTACAGCTGAAGATGCTATAAATACCATTCATTTTGCAGGTATTTAATCATAAAACAAAATACTCGATAAATAAAAGTTGTGACCTGTTGAAGGAGCGAGATGAAAGTTCAGGGATCATCAAAGTTATTACAGTTCATCCTGAAGGGAACATGGATATCTGTACCAAATAATGTAGCAGCTATTGAGACATTTCACATAAAACCCCACGGTGTTGGAGGAAATGTCAGGGGAGTTAGGGGAATGTAATCTCCCTCTGTCCTGTAGTTGTAGAGATGCGTATTTCAGCCTGGACCATGCTGCTCTAAGTTGGGCTTTAATGAAAAATAGAAGACAGACAGAAAAGGAAGAGAGTGGGAGAATAAGTGAGAAGGGAGAAGAGTGATGACTCCTCTCTCCACATCCTTTGTGGTCAGAGGCCATGACTCTGCTCCCACCTCCCACATAGAAGATCATCCTCAGGCCACACACACTCAAAGTGAAACTCCCTGTACCTGTATGAGCCTCTTCTGTGTTTCTTTGTTTCCACACCTATAAACCAGGCTCTGGTGGCTCCTCAGCACATGGTTCCCACTCAGAACACCTGAGCCCACTGGATTACTGGCAGCAGTGGTGTGGAGCAATTTCCAGTCTGTCCCACCACAGAGGAAAAGATCATTCACAGCAGCTACTCAGCTTCTCTCTCCTCCTCCCCACCAGCCCTCTCCCTGCTGCTGTCTTATAGGGAATCCCTTCTGCGGCCAGCTTGTTCTTCACACTCACCCAGGGAGCTTTAGTTGCAGCACTGGTTAGAGATGAGGTGTCTGTGTGTCTGTGTGTGTGTGTGTGTGTGGGTGCTGGGTTCCGCTTTGGAGAGTCATCTCTGAGAACAGAGTGAGAGTTATTTTCTAATGCTGCAGGGGCGGAGGTGGACAGGGAATAGTGGACGGACACTGGAGGGCCAGAGATGCATCCAGCTGCAGTATCAAAAGCCCAGCTCACAGACAAAACAGAAGGGACTTGTTGTGTTTTCTTTGTGACCATAATAGCAGAAGAGCCTATCAGTTTGATCTCTGTGCTCAAGCTTCTTTCCCTGAAGCAATGTTCCATGTATAGTATGCTCTCATAACCCACAGGAAAGATGGCTAGAAGCCCTGAAAGAAAACAAAACAAAACAAACAACTGTTGTTTTTATTATATCTCTGGTGGATTGTTTATTGTAGTGCTTGTAATACTAACTCCACTAGTATAACCTAGGGAGGGGGTGGCTTGTAGCTAAGTCCAGAAAGTGATTTTGAGCTTTTATTGTACAACCAGGGAACTACTTTCGTTGTTCTGATGGAAGCTGAAGATCCTGTGCAAATTCAACCAGTCACCAAAATATCTGAAAGATCTTGATGTTCGTTTTTGCTGCTGTTTCAACATTAAATTTGACCTCGAAAGGACTTAGGACTTTGTGTTCTTAGAACTAATCTTGGCTTATGTTGTCAGGCTTGTTACAAGGCAACGCATCACTCCAACCAGGCTTCTAGAAAAGTTACCAGAGTTTGTTGGCAGCGCCTGGCATGGATTGGAGATTTTAAAGATTTAGTGCAATAATGGAAATTTTGGTCACTGTGGGCCCAAACAGTTATTATTCCTTAAGTGAATAAATACTGATCTTCACAAGATCGCTCCCATATGAGTGAGTTTGCAAGTCTGACCTACAGTTTTTAGGTTGTGAGCATGTTTGTAAGTAGTGTTAGTATAGTGTTTAGTTTGTGGCCTTAAATGACCAAAAGAGAACAGACCAGTCAAACTTTTGTGTGGGGGTTCACAAATAGGAAAATCATATGTGTTTCCTACATGACAAATGTTTTATGGGTTTTGCAGTAAGTGCTGAAAATGCCAAATCCCAAGGACTCCTGGACGATTTGTCTTTGTTTTATTATTTAACAGGAACCCGACCAAATAAAAAAAAAAAGTAGTAGCAATTATTCATGAATAATGTATTTTTTTTTTGACAGTAATAAGGATGGAATATTTTGGAAATTGCACTTGTGAAATATGCCTGACCAACTAACTCGGATGGAGAAGTGCTTACAGGCTGCTCACACTAATCTATTCTGCATCTGATGGTTCAACACAATCCCATTGTGTTCTCCCACTGAAGCGCTTCACAGGAAAGTTGTGAAGGAAACCCTTCAACGTCGCCCTCTCTGCGCCAGTTCTCCCACCTGCAGCTGTCACAGTAGACACATAGGGAGACAGGCTGAATTATTAGCACACCTCGCTCATGACAGGAGGACGGGGGGAATGGGGAAGGGGTGTGGATGACGAGACAGAAGGTGAAAAGACTTTGGGGAGGTGAGAGGGTGTACTGTATATCATGAAGCAGCAGTAGGTTTTCACTTTAGTGGTTTTGGTGGTGTTTGAAGACAAATGTGCAGATTGTTCTCAGGGGACAGATTTCCTTTATTATCCTTATTCAGATTCCTGCTCACAAAGACTTATCCCATTATCTACTCACAGCTCGCTCTCTCACTGCTCCCCCTTGGTCTCGTCACCCATCTGGGTTTGCAGAGCCTCTCACGCCAGACACACAGGATTTCACATGCCTGTTTCCCCATAAAGCTCCTCACTATTTGTTTGATGTGTTGATGCCTTTATAGGCCTAAAGCGGCTGTTGTGCAGCCTGCCAGCCGTTTACTGTCATGCACAGCTGGTAATACCACTATTTACTATAGTTTGTGGGCCTGTTATGCAGTTCTTATAACTCATTAGTAGTGTGGTTGACTTGTTTTGACTCCCCGTGTGTCTTTCAGTAGCGTGTGATATGTGGGAAGTGTGTTGCAGTTTTCCTCCCTGATTAGCT